TAGTATTTAGTTTCAAAGTCAAAAGAGTAGAGTATTTAAGGAGGAGATTGTCAGTAGTGCCAAATGAAATGCCACAAAGAGGTGTGGGAAGATCAGGACTGAAAAGAAGGCATTGAATTTGGCATTTGACATTTTAGAAAAAAATAGTTTGAGTAGAGTGAGGGAGAATGAAACCAGTTTTTAGCAGGAGTAAGTAGATAGTACTAAATTGGAGAAGGGGGCTTTGAAATAAATTTAAGTTTTGCAGTGAAGGAAAAGACAAATGGGGTGAATAGATTGAGAGGGCAGCAAGGTAAAGTTTTTTTAGATAGGAAAAAACATGCATTTTTAATTTTAATAGTTATTACCTAATAACCAATTCTGATTATCATCAAACTTTAAAAATTTTGCCAATCTACTCAGCTGGTTAAGCGTCCAACTTCAGCTCAGGTCATGATTTCTCGGTTTGTGGGTTCAAGCACCCATCAGGCTCTGTGCTGATAGCTCGGAGCCTGCTTTAGAGTCTGTGTTTCCCTCTCTTTCTGCCCTTCCCCTGCTAGTGCTCTTTCTCTTTCCCTCTCTCAAAAATAAACAAACATTAAAAAAAAAAATTTCAAATTTTGCCAGTCTAATAAGAGGAAATCATTATTTGTTTTGCTACACAATTATAATGAGATTGGGCCTCTTCTAAATTTTACGTTGGATTTTTCATCTTACTGATTTTTTAGAAATTTTTAATGCAATTAACTGTCATAAGTATTTAAAATATTTTTATGTTAATTTTCAACTTTATTGAATTTTTTCTAACTCTTAATAGTTATGTTTAGTTTCAGACACAAATAGTAGAAATTCAAACAGTGGTTTAAACAGAATAGAGATGCATTTTCCTTTTAAGTCTGAGGATACCCAGTCACATTCTGGTCTTTTCAGCCATACTTAGTTTCTCTACCTCAGGGTTGCTGAAGCTTTAGTCATTAGCTTCAAGTTCCAAGCAGGGATATGGGATATAGGGGTTTGACACTTTGAATCTTTCCCCTTTTAGAACCTTTTCTGGAAGCCCCACTGAGTCCATTCTATTTATATCTTAATTGCCAGGGGTATATTTGGCTGCCTCTTTTTGTAAGGGGGACTGAGAAATGTGGTTGCAAATCAGACAAAATTGTGATTCTGTTCATAACAAAGTAGAGGATCATTCGTGTTTTTCCAGATGGATCTCTTTGTTTTTAAGGGTAAATAGTGTTCCTGTGTGTGTGTTGTGTGTATCAGTTTCTTTATCCATTCTTCCATTAAGGGACACTTAGGTTGTTTCCGTATCTTGTCTATTGTAAATAATGCTGCAGTAAACATGGGAGCACAGATAATGCTTTGAGATACTGATTTCATTTCCTTTGGGTGTATACCTAGGAAAGGGGTAGTTGCATCATGTGGTAGTTCTATTTTTTATTTTTTTGAGGAAACTTCATGGTGTTTTCATAATGGTTATACTGATTCACATTACCACAAACAGTATATGAAAGTTCCCTTTTCTTCACATCCTCACCAACACTTAGTTTTTTGTTTTTTGTTTTTTTTTTTAATAATTGCCATCCTACCAGATATGAAGTAGTACTTCATTGTGGTTTTGGTTTTCATTTCCCTGATGGTTAGTGATGCTGATCACCTTTTTATACACCTGATGGCCATGGCCATTTCTGTATCTTTGGGAAAATGTGTATTTGGGTTCTTTTTTAATCTGTTTGTGTCTTTTTCTTTTTTGGCTGTTGAATTGAATGTGTTCCTTACAAATTTGGAATATTAATCCCTTATCACATATATTGCTTACAGTTATTTTCTCTTATTCCATTAGGTTCTCTTTTTATTTTGTTTTCTTTGCTGTGCAGAAGCTTTTTAGCTTGATGTAGATGTTAGCTTGACTATAGTAGTCCTTTCTCTATGTGTATAAATATATTAAATCATGTTGTACATCTTAAAAATATACAATTTTAGCTTTAAAATAACAAAAATCAAAAGGAGTTAGAGAAATTTGGGAATAGGGTAGGCAGCTAGCAGTTTCCATGAATAAATTATAAATTCTTTACCACTATGGCTTCTACGTTTACTTCATACTCCCAAAAGCATGGTTGTGAGCTTTGAGTTAGCATTGAGCAGTGAGTTAGCATTGAGCTTTTGTTTTTTTTCTTTCCAAAGGGAAAGTTTATGAAATCATCCTTTTTTCTCCAGATTTTCCCCCTGATATGAATGCTACTTGTACTTATTACACATATAATTATATTCATTATTATATGTTATTATATATTATTATATAATATAATATATTGTAAATATAATTCTCAAATAGATTTGCTTATGCTTCTGTTCTCTCTAGTCCATTTTTTCTTTTTGACCGTCTCTTTAGTACAAAACTCTTGTAAACACTAATCCTTTCACCTTTATAGGGTAAGGTTAACACCTCTCTTCTCATTGTTTTTAGTATTTTCTTGCCTATTGTTACATAATTATTTTACAAGTGAACTTCAGTACCTAATATTTGGTTGTGTTAGCATGTTTTCACCTCGTCTCCAAAATTTTCTTCTTAAATGAGAATTTAATGTATTGGTTAATTAGAGAGAATTGACAGCTTTACAGTTCTGTATTTGTCCCTCTATAGTTTAATGTTCTCATAAACATTGTGTATATTTTTAAGACTTATTTTTAGGTATGTGACTTTTTTCTATTGGAATCTTTCTATTATTGATTTCTTTATTCTATTTTAGTTTTAAATTGTTATGGTAAAATGTACCTAACATAAAATTAACCATTTTACCTATTTTTAAGTATACAGTTCAGTGGCATTAGGTACATTTACAATGTTATGCAGCCATTGCTTCCATCTGTCTCCAGAATGTTTTTCAACCTACCCAACTGAAACTTTGTACCTTAGACAATAACTCCAAATCCTCCCTCTTCTTAGCCCCTAATAACCATTTTGTCTCTATAAATTAGACTATTCTAGATATCTCATATAAGTAGAATAGTACAATATTTGTCCTTTCATGCTTAGTTTATTTTATGTAGCAGGTCTTTAAAGTTCATCCATGTTGTAACACCTGTCAGAATTTTCTTCCTTTTTTTAAGGCTGAATAATACTGTGTGTATATACCACATTTTGTTTGTCCATTTATCCGTCAGTGGACATTTGGGTTGCTTCTACTTTTATTTTTTTCAATGTTTATTTATTTTTGAGAGAGAGAGCGCAAGCAGGGGAGGGGCAGAGAGAGAGGGAGACACAGAATCCAAAGAAGTTCCAGGCTCTGAGCTGTCAGCACAGAGCCCAGTCCGGGGCTCAAACTCACGATGGTGACTGAAGCTGAAATCAGACACTTAACTGAGCCACCCTGGTGCCCCAGGTTGCTTCTACCTTTTGACTTTTGCAATAATGCTACTATGAACATGGGTATACAAATATCTGTCCAAGTATCTGCCCCATTCTTCTGGATACATAGTAGAATGGTAGGATCATGTAGTAATTCTGTGTTTAATTTTTTGAGGAACTACCATACTGTTTTCCATAGCAGCTCTACTATGTTTTACATTTCCACCAGCAGTGTAAAGGTTTCCAGTTTCTCCACATCCTCTAGCATTTGCTTTCTGTTTATTTGGTGTTTTTAAAAATAATTGCCATCCTAATATTGTAAAGTGGTGATTGTGGTTTTGGTTTTTATTTCCTTAATGATTAGTGATGTTAGACACCTTTTTGTTTATTGGCCATTTGTTTATCTTTTTTGGAAAATACCTACTCAAGTCCTTTTCCCATTTCTGATCGGGTTGTTTTCTTTTTGTTGTTGAGTTGTAGAAGTTCTTTATTACAGATATTAACCCCTTATCAGATACACAGCTTGCAAATATTTTCTCTGATTCTGTTGGTTTCCTTTTCACTCTATTGATGGTGTTCTTTGCACAAAAGTTTTTAATTTGAGGTAGGCTTGTTAGTCAATTTTTGCCTTGCTGCCTGTGCTTTTGGTATTGACCAAGAAATCATTGCCAAATCCAAATAAAGCTTTTTCCCTTAAGTTTTCTTCTAAGATTTTTATAGTTTTAGGGGTGCCTGAGTGGCCCAGTCGGCTAAGCATCTTCTGACTCTTTATCTCAGCTCAGGTCTTGAGCTCAGGGTTGTGAGTTCAAGCCCAACTTTGGATTATGTGCTGGGGATGGAACCTACTTTAAAAAAAATTTGTATACACACACACATACACACACACACATATATAATTTTTATAGTTCTATTTCTTATGTTTAGGTCTTTGATCCATTTTGAGTTAATCTTTGCATATGGCGTAAGGTAAACTTTGTTCTTTTGATGTGAGTATCCAGTTTTCCCAGCATCATTTGTTGGAAACTGTCCTTTTCCCATTGAATGGTCTTGATGCTCTTGTAAAAACTCTTGGGCTTTATATGTAAGGGTGTATTTGGGGGCTCTTTATTCGATTGATCTTTCTGTGTTTATGACAGTATCATACTGTTTTGATTACAGTATTGTAAGTTTCAAATTATTTTTTTGGTATGCCAGAACACTAGTGACTTTAAATATTAATTAGTAACCAGATATCTTACTGAATTCTTTTACAGTTTTTCAGTTGATTGTGCAAAGATATGTCTGTTGCAGATAACAATAAAATATGACTTCCTCTTAAATTTTACCTGTTTTTGTCTAATTACATTGGCTTTAAAATAATGTTAAATAATTATGTTGGCTACGTATAGTATTTCTTTTCTTGTTTCTGATTTAAGGGAAATTCTTCTCTAATATTTTGCCATAGTGTATGATATAGCTTTTGGTTTGAGACATACTCTTACTAAACTTCTGAGGTTGACATTAAAAAGCTTAATTACAGTTTGGCACTTAATTACAGTTTGTTTCTTGTTGCTGTTAATAGGAATAAAATGTTGATCTGAAAGTGTCATAGAAGGACTGCCCAGTTTTGGGATTCATATGTATCACCTCTTAGGACTTCAACTAATTGACTTTTTGTGTTGTTTTTCAGAATGGCCAAAGTTTTCTGGTTTTGGATGAACAAAGATTTGCAAAAGAAATTCTCCCCAAATATTTCAAGCACAATAACATGGCAAGCTTTGTGAGGCAACTGAATATGTGTGAGTATGGATAGCAGTTTATTTGGAACACTGTCATCAATGGATTAAACCATTTTTTTCCCATTAGGTTGATAAGCAAAAAGGAAATCTTTTACTTTGGTCTATTTTAGTAATCGAAATTTTTACTCTTTTTCAGATGGTTTCCGTAAAGTTGTACATATTGACTCCGGAATTGTAAAGCAGGAAAGAGATGGTCCTGTTGAATTTCAGCACCCTTACTTCAAACAAGGCCAGGATGACTTGTTGGAGAACATTAAAAGGAAGGTGAGCTATTGTTAATGTGACTTATTTCAGGCATTACCATGTAGCATCTTTGGCCAAGACTTAATATTTCACCTGTTGAAATTAAGAATGTACAGAAATACACAGGTGTTCCTTGTTGGGATGACTTAGATTAATAAAGCTTTCATTATTTCACTCTATTTTGTATTTTTTCTCTGCAGTCAACTGTCCTGAGGGCTTAGTCTTCAAATACCTTCTAGAGGGAAGGAAAATCTTTACATTCTGAGGATTGAGGAATTATCCATATTGGGATGGTTCACTCCTTCTAATTTAGCTTAAAAATGTAAGCTCCTGCTAGAATGTCCACTCTCTGGAGGGCTTTTTCTTTAATTCACTGCTAAATATCCAGTGTCCAGAATAAGTCGCTTGCATTATAGTAAGCATTTAATAATACATTTTTAAATGAATGGTATCTTTTGCTGAAATAAAATATTTTACTAAATCCACAAAAGAGAGGGGAGAAAAGAGCTAATGGACCATGAAAGAAAATGGGCTAGTGTGCAGCTGTTACTGCATAAATTTAATTAAACATGGAATGTGATAATAAAGAGGCTTGAAGAAATTACAGTGAGTTTGGCGAAATAGAACCAAAAAAAAAAAAACGCCCCTAAGTTGTTCCTGTTCTTAGAAACTTTTCCACGTTTAAAAAAACAAAAAACAGATTGATTATTTCTTATTCTTTCTCTTTGCAAAGCTATGAATTTTATTCTTTTTATAGCGTCCTAACCTGAGCGTTTTGGAACTAAATCTAATTTCCTGAATGGGCTACAAAACTTACTTATAATAGGGAAACTTTGAATTACGAATATGGTGTTTAGTATTTGATTTCCTGAATTTGCTTTCAAAAGGTTTCATCTTCAAAACCAGAAGAAAATAAGATTCGTCAGGAAGATTTAACAAAAATTATAAGTAGTGCTCAGAAGGTTCAAATAAAACAGGAAACTATTGAGTCCAGGCTTTCTGAATTAAAAAGGTAAAGTATTATTTCCAAATATAATCTTAATATAGGGGCTGGTGTTTATATTTGTGTGTTGGGGGTTGGAGGTTAGTGCTTTAAGTACTTAGATCACATTGTTGAAACCAAGATAAAAGGTCATTTTTCTGTAAGTATTGGTTCCCTTTAATTTTGATTTATAGCCCTTGACTTTACCTCAATATTATATTTTCTTAATGGTGATCAAAAGAATTTAGGGCAGTTAAAACAACATGATGCACGAGTCTCACTGATGAAATAGTAGATCTTTAAATTGTTGTAGGAAATATGATTCTACTTAAGTTAGATTTCTTATGATGTTCATACACATGAGGGCACACAAAGCATAAAAAATTCTACATGTGTTACTCATCCTTTTTTTTTTTTTATGGTGGTTTCATAAGACTTTTCTATGTGGCCCATCTCTTAGGAAAAAATAGGACAAAAAATAGGGAAAAAGGACACATGAGACTTGGCCTACTTGGTATTTATTTTACATAGACGTGGTAAAGTGTTATTTGAATCTTTTATCTACCGAAACATGCTTTTGCTTTATTACAATTTTTGGCACCATTATTTGCCACAGTAACAACTTATATGTAGAATAGATGTACTTCTTAGTAAGTAAAGATTTTTTCTCTTATCCTAATAGGTGCCAAGGTCTTGAGAGTAATTTAAGTTTTATGTATTCTCTCCCATTTCAAGTGTGGGATTAGTTCAGCTGTCTTAACTCACGTATCTTCATTAAGAGAGTAACCTTGGATGCGATTCCCTTTTTTGAATAAGCCTTAATTTTAAGATGTCCCATTTTGCATCTATTATTTAATCATCCCAGTTTATTATATGTGTTTTGTGTCTGCTGAGGTACCTTTTGACCCAGTTCCTTGAATCTCAGGTTTAGCTCTTAAGGAATGATCCTAGATTCATCCTATCAGTTTTAGAGGTAACCATTCTTCTATTTATGTTTTAGTAGGCAAATAGATGATAGTATCTTTAAATATTTGAGTCTGGGGCACCTGGGTAGCTCATCAGTTGAGCGTCTGACCTTGCTCAGGTCATAATCTCGTGGTTCATGAGTTTGAGCCCCATGTCGGGCTCTGTGCTGACAACTCAGAATCTGGAGCCTGCTTCGGATTCTGTGTCTCCTTCTCTCTGCCTCTCCCCCTCTCATGTTTTCTCTCTCTCTCTCTCTCTCTCAAAAATAAACATTTTAAAAAATGTGTTTAAAATTTAAATATCTGAGTCATAAAAAGTACTCTAGTTATTCATTAAGTATTAAAGAAAGTTTTGGTTTCAGTACCCTCTATGTGTAAATCCAGTCCCTTTTGTAATAGTTTGGCTTGAGGAAGATGGATATTATGGAAATTAACAAGAGCAAAAATGAGAGCATTTAATAGGTAGATTATCTTTCATGCCTTCTCAGTGTTATCATTGCTGCTAACATTTAATAGTTGCATGTTTAATAAAAGTAGTCAATGAAGGAAATGAAGTTACTACTAGGCAAGTTATTGATTTGTCATATATTTAGACATGCTTTAAAAAAACTTGTTTTAGTGTTTCTGTGCTTGTGTTTGAAACAGATTTTAAGGTAGACAGTTTTAGAATCTGATAGACTTTTAGATCGGCTTCAACATTTACTATAATAAATTACCTGTGTGGTTTTAGGCAAGGCCTCTCAATTCTTGAGTCTCCGTGTCCTCTTCTATAAAATAGAGTTAATAATTCCTTTCTTGACTGATTTTAGAGAAGTTTAAGAAATACACATAAAATGCTTAGCATAATGCTTAGAGCATAGGAAGTGCTGGGTAAATGTCACTTCTTTTAAGAATTCTTTTCTGGGGCGCCTGGGTGGCTCAGTCGGTTACGTGTCCCAGCTTAAGCTCAGGTCATGATCTCGCGGTCTGTGAGTTCAAGCCCCGTTTGGGCTCTGTGCTGACAGCTCAGAGCCTGGAGCCTGTTTCAGAATCTGTGTCTCCCTCTCTCTCTGACCCTCCCCTGTTTGTGCTGTGTCTCTCTCTGTCTCAAAAATAAATAAACGTTAAAAAAATTAAAAAAAAAAAAAAAGAATTCTTTTCTAAGGGTGCATGGGAGGTTCAGTTATTTAGGTGTCCAACTTCAGCTCAGGTCATGATCTCACAGCTATGAGTTTGAGCCCCACATTGGGCTCTCTGCTGTCAGTGTGGAGCCCGCTTTGGATCCTCTGTCTCCCTCTCTTTGCCCCTCCCCTGCTTGTGCGTGCACGCTCTCTCTCGGTCTCTCAAAAATAAATAAACATTAAAAAAAAATTTAAAAAAAATTCTTTTCTAAGCACAAGTCCTAAATTCACTTGGTAGCCACAGTTGAAAGGTTGTTTTATTTTTTAAATAAGAAGTAATGAACCATATTGTCAGAGAAGTAAATTGCCTACTACTATATGGATGTAGGCATGACTCTTACATTTTTGTGTTTATATTGCCAACAGTAGAATGTACTATAGTTATGAAAGGATGATTCTGCGGCTGTGTCAAGATAGTTGTTATTTTATGTAATCGAACCAACATTTTTCTAGTCTCAAAAATAATAGTAAAAGTTCACTGATACTCTTTTTTTTTTTTTAATTTTTAATGTTTATTTATTTTTGAGAGAGAGACAGAGGGAGTGCGAGCAGGGGAGGGGCTGAGAGAGAGGGGGATCCAGAATCTGAAGCAGACTGTCAGCACAGAGCCCAACGTGGGGCTCAAACCCACGAACCGTGAGATCATGACCTGAGCTGAAGTTGGACGCTTAACTGACTGAGCCACCCAGGTGCCCCAAAGTTCACTGGTATTCTTAATATCTTCATGTCTGGCTTTCTGAAATTTTTTTTTGTTTGTTTCTTAATAAATGATGTAGTGAGAATGAGTCCCTTTGGAAGGAGGTGTCAGAATTACGAGCAAAACATGCACAACAGCAACAAGTTATTCGAAAGGTAAGCTTTTTTCCACCATGACTATAATCTGCCTTTGTTTAATTTGTGTACCATTTGTAACCTAAAAAAGTGTGTTGAATAGTCAGTGATTGATTTTAATTTCTTATATATTGGGTGCATATAGAGTAGTGAAACTCTGAAGTCAAACAAATTAAATTGTGTTATATTTTCATTTTAATAAGAAACACTTCTTACTAGCTTAATATGATTGTTCCATATTCTCAACTAAAGTCTTATTAGCTTTATAGCCTGATATAACAACTTTAAAGATACTTTATTTTGGGGAACATAATTAATATGTTACAAATTTCTTAACATTTTTTACTATGAAAGATAGCCTTACTGTGTGGGTTCGTTATTTTTGTTTTTACTATTTTTTACTTGAAAAGGTATGGATGTGATCTTGAAAGACAAATGACTAAAATTTTCAAATCAGTTAACCAGAATATGAGTTCAAAAAAATGAATTATCAGTGTATGCCATTATTAGTTTCTGCAGAAAAGCAGTTAATGTAGTGTGTTATAAAATAAATTCTGTATTTTAGTATCTGAGCTGAAAATTACTGGGAGAACTGAAAAATCTCTCTGTTGCATTGTGTCCTTGTGATGTAGTCTTTTCATATCAGCTTTCATATGTTAATAAGAGTTGAAGCATAAAAGTAATTAAGGCAGCTATTTTTTGCTCATGAGTAAACTAGACTCTGAAGTTTAAGCAACAGGTTTTGGGTGGGGGAAGGAAGGGTGGGAGGTCTTCAGCTAAAAATAGAGTTATGACTGACTGGATCTGGGTCTAGTGAAGCAAGCTTAGAACAGAGACGAATGGTTGCAGCCTTTGGCCTGTAGTCAAAATAGATACACTAGGTTTTCCTTTTTGTTTTTTTCCAATCAGTATGCAAGTGAACGGTTGATTGTTGAATTCAGTTCTAAGTGTTTAGTCTGAGTGCATATATTTTCAAAGCTTCCCTAAAGGTGATTCCAGCATGCAACCTTGTTAAGAATACCTGATTTAAAATGACAGATATATCCTAAGCTGTACTTTATTTTTAAAATATCTTAATTTTTCTCAGAAAATAATGTTTTAGTTAAATATTAGCTTATAATACTACATAGCTTTTTTTTTTTCCCTTAAAGTCAAAGATAGTTGGTAAAATACTTAGTAAAATTTCAATTTTTCATGGAAGTTGACATTCTGTCTGCTCAAATCTGAGTTTGAATATTTGTGGTTTGGTGGAACTAGGGAGTTTTCATAATGCTGGAGTTGGTTCATAAGTTTGCCATTTACTCTTTTGTCTTGGCTCAATTGGAATAGTATATGTGAGTTACTGGTATAGGTGCCTGTTACAGGACAGGAAAATAGTACTGGTTGTAGAACTTGCCAGGTCCAAAAGTTAGAGGCTGTAAATACTGTAAATGTTAGATGACTTCAGCAAACAAGCTTTGTACAACGTGATGCAGAATTGTCATGAGAAGGGCACCTGGGTGGCTCAGTCGGTTAAGCGTCCGACTTCGGCTCAGGTCATGATCTCACGGTCCGTGAGTTTGAGCCCCGCATTGGGCTCTGTGCTGACAGCTCAGAGCCTGGAGCCTGTTTCAGATTCTGTGTCTCCCTCTTTCTCTGACCCTCCCCTGTTCATACTCCGTCTCTCTCTGTCTCAAAAATAAACAAACATTAAAAAAAATTAAAAAAAAAATTGTCATGAGAGAACTAAGATGAACAAATTTCAGAAGAAATTTAGCCAGTGATTCATGATCTTATTAATTCAACCACTAATGTTTTTAGAATTTTTCTATAATACTTATTTATAAATTAACAAAAACAATTGAGGTCAAATTATTTCATTGATACCTTTAAGCTTAAATTTAAGTTGTCTTCTCATCAGCCATCAGTCAGCATTTTCTTTTGAATAAGGTTAGTGACTAACTTCCTTTTCATAGACTCTAATGCAATCTAATTCTTCATTTAAAATGTCTATATTTTTCTCCGTGGAAAAGTTCATTTTGATTCTAAGGAATACTACTTAGTATCCCCCTTTGGGGGAGAGCACACAATATTAAAGCCATGCACATTTCTAATTGACAATTCTGTATTTTAGTCATATAATTACATTTTACAAAACTTATAGAGAACTTCCTTGCAAAGAGTCTAAATAGTCCTCCACTCACTTTTGGCCTTTATTTATAGCCTGTCAGTAATATACTGCTTTTCATAGTTAACCATGTGATTCTCATCTTTCTAGCTCCTTTGGGAAATTGACAGTAAATTTCAAAGCACACCCCAAGCCAAGCACACTACAATCATGTCAGTGTCACCTGGAGGACTTGCTAAACATACATTGTTGGACCCCATCCTCAGAATTTCAGATTCAGCAATTCTGGAGTGGGGCTGAGAATTTGTCTAATACTGCTGGTCCATGGACTACACTTTTTTTTTCTTTTTTTTTTTTTTAATTTTATTTATTTATTTTGAGAGAGTGTGCATGTGAGCTGGGGAGAGGCAGAGAGGGAGAGAGAGAGAATCCCAAGTAGGCTCTGCCCTGTTCTTGCAGAGTCTGAGACAGGGCTCAGTCCCACAAACCATAAGATCATGACCTGAGCCAAAATCAAGACTCAGAAGCTCAATCAACTGACCCACGCCGGCGCCCATGGACTGCACTTTAAGAAACATTGTCATAAAATGTGAAATATTGTTTACCTGTCTTGATTTGTTTAGTAGTTTTTTTCCTTTTAGATTTAATCCAACTCAGAAGATTAAACCAGCTTCTTTTGATTAGCAGTGTGTGTGTCTTGGATATTTAAGAGGAAAACCATCTAAAACAAAATCTTTACGTTGTTTATTTGAAAAAAGCATATGTATTCTAACTTTAAAGAAAAAAGCATATGTATTCCAACTTTTAAATTGTGAATTTATTTTTGGATAACCTCTAACTGTATTTGGGGTTTATTTCTGTTGCTGTATAATTAGATATTTCATGGCAATATTTTGTATTAAGCAATAATTTTTCTAGAATCAACCAATAAGCGTTTTCTACCTTGAAAATTTTATGCTCTATTCTGAAAGAGCTGGCAGTTTCTTTTGCCTCTAATTTTATTACCCAGTGCAAGAAAAATGTTGCCAGTCACTTTTTTTTTCCCCATCATAATCTTGAAAGAATTTTAAGTAGAAAGTTGGGATCTGTATCCAGGCATGCTTAGTACTTATCACCAAAACAAATAAGTGAATTGAATGTTGGATAGATAAATGGGTAGGTGGGTGGGTGGTTGGATGGATGGATGGATGGATGGATGGATGGATGGATGGATGTAGGTAGGTAGGTAGGTAGATGAATGTCTTAAGCATCTTGGTATTACAGGTAGCTGCAGCTTTCATCACAGGTTATCCTTCTGCTTGGAAACTGTTAAATTTCTTTAGATATCAATTGTAAGATGCACTCAGATTACAGATATGTTAATATGTGAGAAATTATGTGACTTAGCCTTAGCCTGTAGTATTTGAATTAATTTTGTAAGGTTTGTAATATGCACTAATAATTAAGAGTCTGCGATGGAAACTTTTTTGTTTATATTTTCCTTTTAGATTGTCCAGTTTATTGTTACGTTGGTTCAGAATAACCAACTTGTGAGTTTAAAACGTAAAAGGTAAGATTTTGTGGTAAAGCACTTTGACTTATTCATGGACAAGTAAACATTTTAGTGTTTAACATGAATGGCCTACATTTGCTTAGAGTATGCCTGTTGTCCCAGATGCACAGTACTTCCTTGTTAATTTATACTCTCAACATTTCAATACTAGTGGTATTTCCTCCTGCTGTCATCCTGCTGATGTTTTTGAAAGATAAGGTAGCCTAAATGGCCACTTTAAACACACATACACAGTTAATGAAGAATCCATTTTTATTCACATTAGCATTTTAATGTATCATTAGATGGCCTGAATGAGGGAAATTTAAAAAACAGGTCATATATTGAAAAAAAATAAAAAAATTTTTACTTGATCTCTCTTATCTTTAATTCACTAATAAGGGATTTAAAAACCTATATATTGAATGTAGCTTGTGATACCTATAAATGTTAGTAACTGCCGTTGTTACCACTAAAGCTTAAGGATAATGGATAAAGGAATAGTTGGAAAGCAGATAAAGATCTTGTAAGGCCATATTTTAGCAAAGCTTGTTTATGTTTACAACTTAGGCTGTGGCCTTAACTCTGCTTCCACAAACTAGTTCTCATGATATTACCTATTTGTTTTTTTACTATGTAAGTACAGTTCATAAAGAGTTATTCAGTCAGCAGTGAAGTATATCCAGAGAGACTAGTTTATTATATTTATTTTAAGAAAAATAGTCCTAAACACAGTCATCCTCTATTTCTATTCCTAAGATGTGACCATTTTCTTTAAAGAATTTTTTTTTAATGTTTATTTATTTTTGAGAGAGAGACAGAGAGAGACAGAGTGTGTGCAGGGGAGGGGCAGAGAGAGAAGGAGACCCAGAATCTGAAGCAGGCTCCAGGCTCTGAGCTGTCAGCACAGCACCCTACGTGGGGCTCAAACCCATGAACTGCGAGATCATGACCTGAGCCAAAGTTGGATGCTTAAGAGACTGAGCCACCCAGGCACCCAGATGTGACCGTTTTAAGAGTTCATTGTGTATGATTAATAAATTTCTTATTAAAGTGTGTATGTTCATGTGAGGGTAAATTATTAGAAGAATTTAAATTTCATGTTATGTTTGCTTCACTGAATTTCATGAATATCTTCTGATTTTCAGGCCTCTACTTCTAAATACTAATGGAGCCCAAAAGAAGAACCTGTTTCAACATATAGTCAAAGAACCAGCTGATAATCACCATCATAAAGTAATTTTTTGGTTAAATTCTACTTTATATTTGTTATTTCAAGCCAAGTTTTATTGTAGCAGTATTTCATTCAGAGTTTAGTGAATAATAATCTGTGTGCTTATCCTCCAGCTTATTAAATCATGACATTTTTAATTTTTGCTTTAGATTTTAAGAAATAAACCATTGTAAATATAGTTGTCTCGTTTGCCTGGTCCCAGGTTTGTTTTTCACCTTTTCTTCAGGCTCTCCTAGATAATCACTGTCTTGAATTAGAATTTATCATCACCTTGGTCATTATATGTGTGACTTCTTGAACAATATTTGGTATTATTTTGCATGTATCTAAGTTTTATATAAATTACATATAATTTTGCACATATCTTTTTGCATTGTAACTTTTTTCACTTGGTTTTTCTTTTGGAGATTTATTAAATATTTAGTTAATCTCAACTATTATATTGAATATTATATAATGTAATTATGCATTCATCCATTGGTTATTTTAAGTTTCCAGTTTTTATTATAAATTGCATAGACTAAGACCTTTTAGTCTAGCAATTTCAAAACGTGTTTCTGTTTACCTTTATCTTTGTCATGGGTTCTCTGGATCATTTGTCGTTTGTCAAACTTACATCCATTGGCAAATCAGTCTAGCTCAGAGTCTGGACTTTTTTTTAATATCTGATTTTCATTGTTACTTTCAAATCTTGGAATTCTAAATACTGCTTCAGATTTATTAATGTACCAACATTTTTTTCTTGAGCAAACCATAATTAACATCTGGTTCTTCCCACCACTGTTTCTAAATAAATAAACCTAACTGTTGTGTTTTTAGAATTAAAGACTCAACGTAATGGATGACGATTTAAAAAAAAAAATTTTTTTTAATGTTCATTTTTGAGAGAGGGAAAGAGACAGCTTGAGTGGGGGAAGGGCAGAGAGAGAGGGGGACACAGAATCTGAAGCAGGCTCCAGGCTCTGAACTGTCAGTGCAGAGCCCAATGCGGGGCTCGAACTCACAGGCCGTGAGATCATGACCTGAGCTGAAGTTGGACACTTAACTGACTGAGCCACCCAGGCGCCCCTGGATGACGATTTTTTAATTTACCTAGATTTACATATTTTTAAGTACTTTACATCTTTTGCCTCTGATTTATCTACTGTTAAAATTTACAGATTTTTGCGTATGATAATGACTTTAGTTTGCTTTAGAGAACTGAATGTATTTTTATTAAGTACCTATGATCTGAATATATCTGTAGCTGAATAAAAAAATTGTTGCTGAAAACAGGCTGACATTTAACTGTGGAATAGCTGAAATGTTTTTTTTTTCCTATTAATGAAAGCATTTAATAAGAATAAACCATATGTCAAATAGAGTAGCTGATAAAATAATCCTCATCAGCACAGTGGTCATCTGGTTATGCTTGAAATTCCTGGTGAAGTCTTAGGACTTTTTTTTTTAACCCTTTGGATATAAAAAAATACTGTAAAATTTGAAGATCTTTCCATAGAATCATTCAGAGGCATGTCACCTTCAAGAATTCTTACAGTAAAAGAAATAAGTAGATGAAGTAACACACTTCATACCTCTGTGAATTGGTGCTAATAACAATTAGTATATAAGTCCCATCAGGGCAGACAGCATAACTGTTTTGCTTACCATTGTGTATCCTCAATGTTTAGTAAATAATGGGTGTCTAGTTAGCACTTTTTAAATAGTATGCTGTTCAGTAGACAGTATAATTTCAAATTTTGATATATATTGTCTCCGTGATTTTTTTCAGGTTCCACATAGTAGGACTGAAGGTTTAAAGCCAAGGGAGCGGATTTCAGATGACATTATTATTTATGATGTAACTGATGATAATGCAGATGAAGAAAATATCCCTGTTATTCCAGAAACTAATGAGGATGTTATATCTGATCCCTCCAAGTAAGGAGATTATGAAGTAAAATTTGTGAAAATATTGGTTACTTTTCTTATCAGAAAGCTAAATTCAAAACCACTTTATTCTGTGAAAAACTATTGTCTGACTCATATCTGGATTATTAAACCGAAAAGCCAAATTATTTAACCACATACTATCCTCTCAGCAAAGACTCCCAACAAAAAGTGATGAGAATTCTCATTTTTTAATTGTGGAGTTAAATGTCTTTAATTGATCCTTTGTGGTTTTGTATCATATGATAAATCAATATTTGTGATTAAGCTACTCACTCAAGAAACTTAAGCCTTTTGATACATGTTTTGGAGAGAAAGTTTTCATGAAGAATGAATGGACAGAATGGATTTGTTGAATTTGTTTGAAAATGTGATTGGTTCTTTCTTACATCCTGATATAGCTGTAGCCAGTACCCTGATATTGTCATTGTTGAAGATGACAATGAAGATGAGTATGCACCTGTCATTCAGAGTGGAGATCAGAATGAACCAGCTAGAGAATCCCTAAGTTCAGGCAGTGATGGCACCAGCCCTCTCATGTCTAGTGCTGTCCAGCTAAATGGCTCATCTAGTCTGACCACAGAAGATCCTGTGACCATGATGGATTCCATTTTAAATGATAACATCAATCTTTTGGGAAAGTAAGTGTTAACCTAGATGTTGTATGAGCCTATTTGCTTTCATTGTTTACTTCACATGTTCTGTTTCTCTTTTGGCGATCTTTCTTTCACATTATGAACCCATATAATCTATCTTGTTTTGGCCACGGCTGAGCTCTGCAAATGTTATTTTGAAAGGATTTAATCATCCCAAGAGTGTCTTGGGATTTTCTTGGCAGTTCTGTAATGAGGCACCCCTGTAATGTAATTTAATGTGAAACAAGGAAATCTAATATTTGATATATTTTTTAATCTTTTTTTCCCTTAGGGTTGAGCTGTTGGATTATCTTGACAGTATTGATTGCAGCTTAGAGGACTTCCAAGCCATGCTGTCAGGAAGACAGTTTAGCATAGACCCAGATCTCCTGGTTGATGTAGGTACTTTGAATAATCTTTGCTGTAATGGAAGTTTGTGTATTTATGTGTATGGTGTTAAAATAATACATCATTTTCTTGTATTCTACACTGTCTTTGCATTGTCTTTTTTAAATGAATGATTTTGTTAATCAGAAACAATAAACAGATGGATTCAGGATGATGAAGGAGGGTGATCAGCAATTACTACACATTTCTGAGTAACAGTTCAATTAATCCTCCTATAACAATGTATCAGCTCTGTTCAACGGTACTACTAAGTCCAGGTCTTCTCTAGACTTATCGTGTTTTGTTTTGCTCTAGAACAAATTGTCACTGAAGAGAAATGGGTGGATATTTAGTCATAGAATTACTCAGCCAGGAAACAGTATGGAGATACTTCTTAATACTTTGGGAATTAGTATTTTCCACTGAAGTGAATGATATTTTATTATATTTGCTATAGTTTTTAAAATTTTTATGCCCCAAGTCCTAAGGTTATCCTGCAATCCCCACCACCTTCTACATGAACTGACTCCAGTGTTGTCTGGACTGTGAATCCTTATCTACCATTTCTGGCATTAACTAACTACCTTTCTTCCCTCTTGCTCCTACCATTCCTCTCTCTCTTACATGGCTTGGTTCCATCCAGATGAATATTGTTCTCTTCCTTATTTCTGTTTTCTGTTGTGAATATGTTTCTCTATCCTGAAAAGTTTGTTGCTCGCTTATTTATTTATTTATTTATTTAGCATTTTTTGCCTTAAAATGCAGCTTCTCTCCATCAAGATATTTTTCAGTCTTGTCCTTTTAAGGGCTTCTCAGTGAGGCTAAAAGGAATTAATTCTTTCTTATTTTTCAGTCTTATTAATTCACCACCTTACTCTTCTGCTTCTCATCAGGTTTTGTCAATATCCATGATTTGATTATCCTTTCTGAATCATCAGTATATCACAGGATGGATTTCACTTTCTTTGAAGATTTCCTTCCCATACTGATCTGTGTTACCATCTTACATGAATTCAACATCCATGTTAATGACCTATTTTAATTTGTTAATAGTAATTTGACAGCCCTTTATTCAGTTTGTCTTTGTCCCCACTCTAATCCAAGGACCTTTTTAGAATGTCCCTTAGAGCATAAGAAAATAAAATCTCATTATTCTGTCCCTCTACAAATACTTGCAATCTTCAATTAGATTATTGTTTTTTTAAAATTTTTTTTAGCATTTATTTATTTTTGAGAGACAGGGCATGAGCAGGGGAGGAGCAGAGAGAGAGGGAGACACAATCCAAAGTAGGCTTCAGGGTCTGAGCTGTCTGCACAGAGCCAGACACAGGGTTCGAACTCACAAACCGTGAGATCATGACCTGAGCCAAAGTCGGATACTTAACCAACTGAGCCACCCAGGTGCCCCTACAATTAGATTATTTTAATTTAACCTTGGAACACTTATCACATTTGTCCTCAAGACCTCGTCTGGCCAACTGTTCCTATTCATAGAGGATAATCATCATGCCCTCGTCCTCTCATAAGCTGTGGAATCTCATCTTTTTTCTTCATGAAGGAAGTGCTTTCTTTCTCTTTAAAGCCTATTTGTATACCTGCCCTCTGCCTCTGTTTTTCTAGCTCTGCCCTTGATCTTTCCCATCTCTCTTCAGTAGGTTCAGATCTTCTGCGTCTTAAACATTTTGATGTGTTGCTCTGTTCATTTACCATTCTACTTCTCTAATTCTTTCACTACAGAGTTTTAGAAATGAATGGCTGGTGGTATTTGGTACTTCTTTTTTTACTCTGTATTTCTTTTGAAACCCCGTATTGTCTTGCTTATTAACTCTAAGCCTGTGCTTCCTTGGTTTATCTGTAATGAGTGGCTATGTTTTTTGTTTTTTTTTTTTTTAAATCAGGCCATTGGGGGAGTAGTTTTGTTTTGAATCAGATGGATTTGGGTTCCATTTAGCTTATGTCACTTAGTAGCTATGGTATTAACCTTGGGAAAGCTCACGTCTCTTGCCCAGTTTCCCCATCTGTTAAATGTGGCTAATGCCTAACACGAAGAACTCTTTTGGGGATTATAAATAATTAATCACATTAACACTAGTGATTTTTGACAATGGAACTTTTTCTGTTGATTTTAGAGGCACTGGATTTTTTTTTTTTT